TATCGCCCAGTTGCCAGAAAGATGGCAAAAAGTTGTAGAAAGTGATGGAAAATACTTTCATTGAAATAATTTAAATAAATTTTTTACAATAAATGCTTTTTCTCAGTATTTTTTGGGCGGAAACTAAGTTAAGGTCCTAATAATATATTATATTATATTAAAATTAAAATATTTATTATATTAAAAATGATATATTATTTACTTGTTCGTAATCTCGCAGATACTTCGTTGAATATTAACCGGGAATCGCAATTAAAGAAAAATGAGCCGCTAATCAATTCAATAACAAGGTATCATTTCCTTCAGGTCATAAATTCTTGTAATTATTGTGTACTATACTCAACGATAGATCTAATTTAATGCATGGTTTAATTGTAGATTGAAAGAAATAGTCATACACAGAATGCGCAATATATTTTTATTTCCCGATATTATATTTAATCTCACATCTCTAAGCCGTGAACAACAGAAGCATATAAATTTTCTAAATTCTGTTACGGAAGAGGTAGATATTGCAAATATATTTTCTGATAATGTTATACGATTTGCATGTTATATAATCTATTACTGTGCAGATAATATTACAAAAGGAGAACGCAAGAAATAATTTAATTGGAAATAAAACACAATCAGCTAAGCCATGTAAGTTGTCAACATCTCTTTTATACGTTTTTACATGATGTATTCACGTAGTTAATATTATAATGTGCAAAAATTGTATGAAGCAGTACTATATATTTTAAAATAATTGGGCACAGAAAGAGATATATTTTCCCTTTTCTTAATTGCAACACGTTATTTAGACAGGCATAACTGCATCCATTGAATGTACATACAAATATGTGATAAATTTTTATTATTATAAAGATGAATAAATAAATTATCGTGATCAATTGATCAAATATATTTTTTAGAAATGTATTTTATTTATTTTTTGTTTAAATAAAAAAATAGCAAAGAAGATATTTCTTGACATACTAATGGAAACATCTGACGAAAGCAAAAACTTCACTCAGAAAGAAATTATTGATGAAATTAATACCATTATTATTGCCGTACGTATTATGACGCCTATTGAGACGAGTACTGTCATTTTCGTAATGTATTAATAAAACCATAGGACTGATAAACTAAATTTTCGTTTACACAGGGTTCCGACACAATCGCAATCACATTAAATTTTATGATGTTCATATTAGCAAATTTCCAAGAAATACAGGTACGTATTTTACATTACTTGCATTACTGTATTGCATTACTTTGAGCATAATTTGATTTGCTTGTGATATAAAAACGTTAGTTTATTAGAAAAATTAACAAAAATACATTTATTATATCTTTAAGTCCCGATCTACAATTGGTGTAGCAAGCTTTAAGCCTTAAGAAATTGACCAATCACAGTCGATTATTCTCCTCAAATTTGATTATGATTGGTCAATTTCTTAAAGCTTAGGGCTTAAATCACCTATTGTAGATCGGGACTAATGGCTCCTGCACACAGGACGCAGTAATGCTTGCCTCGCGGTGGAAGTTCGCGCGACAGCCAATCAATATGTTGTTTTTCGATAAGAGCTAGAAAGTTATTACGGAAAGCAGCATATTGATTGGCTGTCGCGCTAACTATTGCCGCGCGGCAAACATTATCGTGTCCTGTGTGCAGAAACTATTAGACTAGATTTTTACATTTTTATGGTATGGTACAGAAATTATTTGGAGCGATAATTTACATATTGCAATGTATATATTCTGTGTATAAAATAAATAAATACATAATTTTGCAATAGCAAAAAGTATACGAAGAGTTGCTAGGAATTTATGGTACACAAAATCAAGACCCAAAATCCACTCAAGTCAAGTACGAAGATTTGCAACATATGAATTATTTGGAATGTGTTATTAAAGAAACATTGAGACTCTTCCCTGCTGTACCTGGCATAGTACGCCGACTTGATGAAAACTTGCAAATAGGTTTGTTTATAAAATTAATCTTATAGGAGAGCAAGAAATTGTATAGTGTATAATAATATCTCGTATCAAGGATATGTTATTGCTCAGGGAAATTAAATATGATTTTTTTTAATTGACTTTAGTTAATGGTTTATTATATTGATATTTATTTATGTATTATGTATATGTTTCAGGAGATTATATTTTACCAAAAGGAGTAGAGATTGGTATACCAATATATGCCTTGCATCGCAATGAAAAGTATTGGCCGAAAGCATTAACGTTCGATCCAGAGAGATTTCTCCCGGAAAACATGAAAAATATTTATTCGTATAGTTATATACCGTTTAGTAACGGTCCAAGGAATTGTATAGGTGAATATATATGAGCTGAACTGTACTGTGGAAAATTATGAAATTAATCTATAAAATTGTAGGTATAAGATATGCAATGACTTCTATGAAAGTGTTCATAGCAACTCTGTTACGGACATACAAATTAAAAGTAGACAAGAAGGTTAAAATAGAAGAAATAGAATTGAAGATGAATATTACGTTAGTGCCCGTGAAACCTCTAGAAGTCAGAATTGAGAAAAGAAAGTGACGTCATAGCGAAGTGAAAATGTATTGACCCAAATAACACAAGACAATCCTATGAATATTTTAAGAATATTCTTCAAGAATATTTGGAATATTCTATACCCTTACGAAAAAGTACTATTAATGGCACTGTTAATGCCACTGTTAGCACTATAGCACTAATGATATTTTCGCTATAGTGACACTGTTAGTGGTAATAGTGCTAGTAGTAACTTTTAGTGCTAAAAGTGCCACTATTAGTGGTAATAGTGACACTATTAGTGGTATTTATATGTTAGTAAAAATAAAAGTACAAATATTTCATGGAATATGTTTATAAACATATGTATACATATTTATATAATATATAAAAATAATATTAGATACATATTTATATAATATATAAAAATAATATTAGACGTTATTCATCTTCAGCCGCTGATTTCACTTGTGTTTTCCGTGGAACCGCGTTGTTGCATTTCTGCTGGACCGATTTTTTAAAAGCGGCCTCTGTCTCTTTTAGATTCTTAGGTGGGAATTTATCATAAACATATTCTAGAAAAACAGAATATTTTATCATTAACGACATAATAGAAAGATTTTTCATGAGTATTTAAGAATCATGAAGTTCATGAGTATATTATCATTATTAATATATATATATATATATATATATATATATATATATATATATATATAT